TTTAACTATAAAAAATGTACTTTTTTAATTTTTCCGTCAGTTAGTTTGTTTAGTTTGTTTAAATATACACATTTTCAATCTCTCAACTTAAAGTTAAGGGACTAAAAATGTGCATATATTAGAAGTTTAGAAACTAAAAATATGTGAATTTTAATAGACTTAACAGATTAACTAACTAAAAAACTAAAAAAAATGCATTTTTCATGGTTCAGAGACCAAAAAAGTGCACAAAGTTGAGAGATTGAAAATGTGCATATATTAGAAGTTGAGAGATGAAAAATATGCGAATTCTGATAGCCTTAACGGATTAACTCACAAAAGAACTAAAAAAATACATTTTTCATGGTTAAGAGACCAAAAAAGTGCACAAAAAATTAAGATATAAAAATTGTGTAAAATCTTAAAGTTGAGGGATTAAAATTGGCATTTTAACCAACTTTGATATGATTACTTAGAGATTTGAGAGTTACATGATGCGATTAGTGGCCACTCCATTTAAGTAAATTAGAGGGTTTTCTATGAGAGTTGGTCTTGAAAACTTTCAGAATATACGTTCCAATCCATTTTTTGTCCAACCACTCCGTTTAGATGAAAAAAAAAATCCTCATAGGCGATCAGGTGTAAAAACCTAAAGCTCATATTTTGGTAAGCTCGTTAAGGTATAAACCATAAATAAAAATTCCCAATGAGTATCTCAACAAAAAGATTGACACGTTTCTTCACACTACCGTTAAAAAGGTAAAACCAAAGGGAAAAAAAATACAAAAATCCCTTAAAGGTTTAATACAACTAGGTGCAGTCTTGGGGTCTCTCAAAATTCTATTTATCTACGGTTTTTTACAAGCTTTCACACTTGTTGCAAAGCATTCAGGGTGATAAATTACTTGAATCTCTTTTTCAATCACTAATCCCTCCAACAAAAAGTGAAGAAGAATAACAAACTTGGTGTATGGTGTAGCCATGCTGGTAACCTTTCAATCTATCAAAACAACCTCCTAAGCTTTCAAGTGAAAGGAAATAAGATTCAATACAAACAATATAAAAATAATAAAGATTTCAATTCTAATCGAGGAATCTGCAAAAAATTGAATCAAACATCTCAAATAGTCCTCAAAACATATGCCAATCTAAGTTTGCAATGTGTTTTATCCTTAAAATCTAGAAGGAAACAATAACAATTAATGTATGTCTACATGTATATAAGAGGAGGGGGGATTGTATAATGAGGACAAGATATCATATATAATTAAAAATGAAAAAAAAAAAGCTTGATGTTAAACAACACAACTGATATGTCAATGTAGTAGACAAAATATAACCAATTGCACTCCCACCCCACGCACACAAACACATATAACAATATAGAAAATTAAACATGATCAATAATGACAAATGACACCTCCCTTAATTTACTCCCAATTAATTTCTCACCATTTTAAGATTTCTCTTCAATAAAATGAAATTACACATAAAAATAGCAAGTCATAATGGAAATTAGAAACAAATATCACATGGGCAATGGTGGTATGAAACTGACAGCCCCAAATTGAAGCTTCAAGATTTTGCAAATTGCAACCATAAGGAGAGGATCAAATGATATGGTTCACAGCAAAAAGATAATGAAAGATGTCAATGCTGGCACTACAATAAGACTTAAGTTCAAAAGAGAAAGAAAGACAACATGAGGATCAAAATCAAAGTTCCTGTCACGCCCCAAAACCCAATTTCGAGACGCGACAGACGCCGTGCACTCGTGAGACGGGTCCCACAAATGCACAAGGCTCGGAACTTATCACATTCACACTCTGATACCATCAAAATCTGAAGATCAAATCTTTAGAATTTACTCTGATATAATAAAATCTCCAAATACAAGATCATGATTCATATCTAAAATTTATATCCAATTACAATATGGCTAGCCTTCTAACTCGTCACTTCCCGTGGTTTCCCCGTCCTCGGTTTCA